CTTGCGGCTCCACTGCCGAGCCCCATGAGGGGCCCGGCGGTGGACCTGCAAGGCCGGCGGGAGGGCAAGAAAGCCCCGCAAAGGCCCTCCCTGGCCCCAGGCAGGCAGGGGTGGGGAGAGGCGGGGAGGAAGCAACTTACCCTCCCTCTTCTCCTGCCTCCTCCTGGCTGAATGAGGGCCAGAAGTGGGGCGGCCAGAAGCAGGGGGCGGGGCTTCGTTGTGTGCTCCGCCCCCCGCACCTCACCCGGGGGAACGGCGATCCCCCCCGAATCGACCTCTGCAGTTAACCATAAATGTAGGTAATGTCTTTTCCCTTATCAGAGAAGTGAACTTGATGTATTGGAGAACTAGTTAGGTGTAGTGGTTAGGAGCACAGATTCTAAACTGGGAGAACCGGGTTTGATTCCTCACTCCTCCACAGGCAGCTGCTGGTGTGACCTTAGGTCAGTCACAAGTTATTTCAGAGCTGTTCTCTGAAGTTCCACCATCTTCACTAACTGTTCTTCCATTGTAGCAATATTGGAGATTTCCATTTCTGAACATATCCAATCAGGTGCTTCTCCTTCTGTTTTCCCGGCAGGTGAGTACTCCTACTACGCTGGAACGCTTGACAAACAAAGACCACGGCAGTGTCTCCATGATCTGGGCTTATCATGTTGGTTCAATGCAGTACATTCTTTTATGGCCAGGTGTGTCTGGCTTTGCGATTATGGATGTACATTGGGTGGGTCTGTAGACTTCCCTGACCTCAGTTCGCTTGTGTTTTTTTAAAAGTTTCAGTTTTGAAGCTTCCTGGAAATGTGTTGATGCTTCTTTGACAGGGAAGTACCATATCAGAACGTGGACAAAGAAGAGCTTCACATGATCGAGGTATCCTAGATTCTGTGTTTCAGACAGGGCTCTGCATACCATGTTGCCATAATGGTGTCTGTCGCTTCCAGACTGAGAAAAAAGGCAACATTGTGGCGGGGTGGGACAAAACTGTTCTTGAAGCCCTCTTGCAGAAACTTGTGAAGTTCATGTCTGCTTTCTGATATATATATATATATATATATAGTCTAGTAAACTAAAAGCTTGCCTTGGGTGGCAATGATCAGTGTTCCCTCTAAGCTGGGTCAGTGTGAGCTAGCTCACAGTTTTTTAGCCTCCGGCTCACACATTTTTATCTTAGCTCAGGACGGATGGTTCCAGAACAAATTAATTTACGCAGCAGCCAAATTGCTTGCTCACAACTTTCATGCCAGTTGCTCACAAAGTGGAATTTTTGCTCACAAGACTCCACAGCTTAGAGGGAGCACTGGGTGGGATGTGGCTGGATCTGGTAGATCCATCCTGGCATGGAATCTAGTACATCCAACCTCCTAGCAAAGGCACTTTCCTAGGTTAGGAGAAATTTCCCAGTAGGGTTGCAAACTCCAGGTTGGGAAATCCCTAGAGATTTGGGGGTGGAGCCTGATGAGGACAGAGTTTGGGGGCAGAAGGGGACCTCGGCAGAGTCTAATGCCAAGGAGATCCACCCACTGAAGCAGCCATTTTCTCCAGAATTGGCCTCTCTGTAGTCTGGAGATCAGTGGTAATTCCAGGGGATCCTCAGGCTCCACTTAGAGCAGGGGTGTCAAACAGGCGGCCCGGGGGCCGGATCAGGGATTTCCATCAGGCCTGCAGTGGAGCCGGCCATCTCTGCTTCCAGTTCTGCTACTGCTGCTGCTGCATCCTAGCTTGCTTCACCAGACCCTCTCAATCACTCAGCCATTCCATGTTTTAACCTGGGTCCTAGACTCAAAACTCTGAGCATGAGATTTCTGTGGTGAATGTCAATAAATCAAAAGTAGGTTTGCAGCTTAGAGAGCTAATGTTTTAAGCATGTTTTTATTTTAAGTAAAAGAAAAAAATCTTTGTGTTTGTGTCCTTTATAAAGTTTATACCTCTGCTACCTGGCATTACATTTTATGACACACGTGGCCCAGCCCAACAAAGTCTCATTTATGTCAGATCCGGCCCTCATAACAAATGAGTTCGACATCTCTGACTTAGAGATTGGTGATCCTACCTCCCAGTGAGAAACCTCCACTGGCAGAACAAATCCACAAGTTCCAACCCATGATCTGCTGGTTTTAAAAAAATATTTTAGGTGCTGTGTTCAGGGATGCCAAGAGCCCATGGGAAAAAAATCCCCTATGGGTTGCCTCACAACACTCCAACCACAGCAGAACATCGTACAAACAGAAAAAAAGGTGGCTTGTTTTATGGGCCTTGGGATTTTATCCTTCTGACCTGGACGGCCCAGGCCTGTCTAATGTCATCAGATCTCAGAACTTAAGTAGGGTTATCCCTGGTAATTAGTTGGGTGGGAGACTGCCAACGAAGTCCAGGGTTGCTACGTAGAGGCAGGTGATGGCAAACGGCCTCTGAATGTCCCTTGCCTTGACCTGAATGGACCACGCTGCTCCAATTTCATCAGATCTCAGAAGCTAAGCAGGGTCGGCCCTGGTTAGTATTTGGATGGGAGACCACCAAGGAAGTCCAGGGTAGCTGCACAGAAGCAGGCAATGGCAAACCACCTCTGGACATCTCTTGCCTTGACATGGGTGGCCCAGCCTAGCTTGATCTCCTCAGATCTCAGAAGCTAAGCAGGGTTGGCCCTGGTTAGCACTTGGATGGGAGACCACCAAGGAAGTCCAGGGTCGCTGTGCAGAGGCAGGCAACGGCAAACCACCTCCGTTCATCTCTTTCCTTGGAAACCCTGCAGGGCTATAAGTCCTTCGTGACTCAACAGCACTTTCCCCCACCAATATTCCTGTTTCATTTCTACCCAGCCCTGGATGGCCCAGGCTGCCTCGATCTCCTCAGACCTCAGAAACTATGTAGGGTCGGCCCCTGGTTAGTCCTGGATGGGAGACCACCAAGGAAGTCCAGGGTCGCTGTGCAGAGGCAGGCAACGGCAAACCACCTCCGTTCATCTCTTGCCTTGAGAACCTTACAGGGTTGCCACAAGTCAGCTAAGGCTTGACGGTACTTTCCACCACCAGTTCCCCCTTCTCAATAGCCTTGACTGTCTCCAGCAGGGGTCATTTCGTAGAAAAAGAGGTGCAGGAGCTCATTAGCATAACTCATTAGCATAACTCATTTGAATATGCCATGCCCCCTGACATCACCAGAAGTGTATCAGAAGGCAACACCAGACGCTCAGGCTCCACCGGACTGTTTTGGATTGCTAGCTATTGGGGGGGGGGGATGTGCAGATCTGTCCTCGCAGAGGTGGGAGAGCTTGTACCTGAATAAAACTTGGTCTTAAAGGTGCCACTGGATGGCTTTTGGCAGGGGGGCCGGGGGGGCCTCTGCAGCTTACCTGGCTGCTTCTTGCTCCGACTGAGGGCTGCTGGGAGCAGGGGGCGGGGCTTGTTGCATGTGCCCACCCCCTGGGCTCTTTACTGCCGGAGCTCCGCTCCTGTGCGCTCCTGCAGGAAATGACCCCTGGCCTCCAGTAATGTGTTGATCTTCCTTTATTTTTTTAAAAAAGAAGTAATATATTGTTTTGTTGTAAACTCCTCCCATCGGCAGGAGAAGTGTGGGTGTTTGGAGGTTCTAAATAAGTGCTCACACACCTGCTTGGCCTGGCAAGTAAATGTTTTTGTGCAGTGGTTGAGTGGCGTACAAGATGTCCCCAGCGTCCTGAGAGGAAACGGCTTTTTCCTGTAATTTGTACACTTCTTGTCTATACCAAAGGAGACTGCGTTCAAGTACATGACTAAGAGGCTATTCAGGTGATGAGTGGTAGAACTTTTCTTCCCGGTAAATGAAAGCAACTCAGAGACAAGTTTAGAACAGCTGAGTAGGCTACACGTATGGATTACTCCAAGATAAGTATAATGAGGTAATCTTGTCTATGTGAGCTCCCAACTCTCATAAATTCTGCTCTGGAAGGAACAGTGCATGGCCATTCTGTTCCTCCTCTGTTTTTGTTTGACGCCTGAAGGATCGCATCTAGCAATACAAAGGTGGGGGACAAGAGCTCTGCGGAAAGTTAAGTAGAACCCCCTCCACATACACACAAAAAAGGGAATAGAAGTGTCAGGGGTGTCGTCGGAGTTGGCCTTTTGTTGGGGTGCTATAAGGGTAAAAAATGGTGAAGGGAGAACTATCTGCTCGGGGATGGGGCTGTAGCTCAGTGGAAGAGCCTCTGCTTGGCATGCAGAAGGTCCCAGGTTCAATCCCTGGCATCTCCAGTTTAAAAAGGACCAGGCAGGAGGTGATGGGAAAGACCTCCACCTGAGACCCTGGAGAGCTGTAAAGAGGGGCTGCAGCTCAGTTGCAGAGCATCTGCTTGGCATACAGAAGGCCCCAGGTTCAATCCCCAGCATCTCCAGTTAAAAGGACCAGGCAGTAGGGGATGTGAAAGACCTCAGCCTGAGACCCTGGAAAGCCGCTGCCAGTCTGAGTAGACAATACTGATCTTGATGGACCAAGGGTATGATTCAGAATATAAGGAAGCTTCATGTGTTCATGTATTATAAGGGAAGGGCCAGTGGCTCATTGGAAGAGCCTCTGCTTGGCATGTAGAAGGTCCCAGGTTCAATCCCCGGCATCTCCACTTTAAAAAGAACCAGGCAGCAGGTGATGGGAAAGACCTCCGCCTGAGACCCCGGATAGATTAATTAGAGGTAAATTAACTTCAGATACACAAAATTATGGGGCTGGATTTCATTTGCTGAGACTTTTATGACTGTCTGGAACAGCCACAACCTGTCCTTGAATCCAGACAGGACCCAAGAGTTACTTTTTTCCAGGAAAGATTTATCCCCGTTACCCAGTTTTCTGGGGAATTCAATCTCTTTGCTTGCTTTTGGTCCTTATTACACTTCAGAAAGAGAATGACAGGTGGGCGGGGTGCCTGTCCAGATGCACACATTTGCATTTCCCCAATAATGAACAGAGTCATAAAGCAAATATTTTAAATAAATGGAAAACCCCACAGATAAGATGCAGGTGGAGGGAAAAAGGCATTTGGTTGCTTAAGTGATTTACATGCAAACTGTTCAGCCGGAGTCTAATCTAACTTGATTTCTTTGTGTTTCCACTTAATGCAATTAGAACTGGCAACGGTGCTTTAGCTGAGCCCGGAGTCCAGCAGGCAATTTGGTGAGATAAGACAGGGTTTTGCATTTGTGTCAACAGACAGGGTAGCTGCTACTAGTTTATGCTGATCCCTCACGTATCTGCTGCCGAAATTCAATTACTGTAGCCTTCATGGACCAAAGTCTACACAGCCAGATTTTTGTATGGGGGGGAATTGATTCGGGCATTGAAGCATTCAGAAGCAGCGCTGACTTGAATGGTTAAGACAAGACCTAGCACTGGGGCTGGTATGAATATCCAATATGATGTATGAATATCCCAGTTGGTGCAGTGGTTATGAGTGGCGGACTCTAATCTGGAGAACCGGGTTTGAGTCCCCACTCCTCCACATGTAGCTGCTTGGTGACCTTGGGTCAGTCAAAGTTTTCTCAAGAGCAGTTCTCTCAGAGCTCTCTCAGCCCCACCTACCTCACAGGGGGCAGGGGAAGGGAAAGGAGTTTGTAAGCCGCTCTGAGACTCCTTTGGGTAGTGAAGGGCAGGGTATAAATCCAATCTCCTTCTCCTCCTCCTCCTTCCCTTAACTTAAGCCTACATTCTAAACTTGCCACAGTTGTGAGCTAGAAAACATGACAGCTTCACTAACACAGCTATGTCCAAAGTACTGGTTCGAAAGGAGTGTGAGAAACACATTGCAAGCTGGGCACACAGCAAAGGGATCACAAAGCTCAGATCCACAGAATTTGCAACCTGTGCCATGCTGGAAGTGCTAATGGGTCGCTGCAGGGGTGCAAAGT